CAAGCTAACGCTCCCACAAGATGTTAGATGGAACTCTGTGGTGGACTGTTTTGAGCAGTATATCAAGAACTGGCCTATTCTGATGACAGTTTGTGAAGAAAATCGAGATAAAATAGATGGCACTGTCACGGCCAAAATCCTCAACATTGGGCTTAAGAGAAATGTTGAACTTATGCTGAGCATCCTGAAACCCATCTCTAAAGCTTTAAACAAAATACAGAAAAATAGCTGTTTTATTGCTGATGCTGTTGAAATTTGGAAGGAACTGAGTGAACACTTAAAAACAGAACTACACATGGCCAGAATTAAATTACAAGCATTAAAAAAACAAATGGGACAAGTACTGTCTCCAGATCATTTTTTGGCAAATATTGTCAATATCCAGTATCAGGGTCAAAACTTAAGAGCTGAGGAAGAGGAGTTAGCTATGACATGGGTATCCAGCAATCATCCATCTGTAATGCCAACTATAATAAACTTCAAAGCTAAGGGGGAACCATTCAAGAAATATATGTTTGCTGAAGATATTTTAAAGAAAGTCACACCAGTGAACTGGTGGAAGTCACTTAAGCACTTGGATTTAGAGACTTTCAAGTAATGATTTCACTTTTAACAGCAGTAGCTTCTTCTGCAGGCGTTGAAAGAATATTCTCTTCCTTTGGACTCATTCATTCTAAATTGAGAAATCGTTTGGGACCCGATAAAGCAGGAAAGCTTGTTTTTCTTTTCCAGATTACGAACAAAGAAGATGAAGATGACGAGCGAGCTACAGAGGACAGTATTTAAGTTTTTCATGTGTAGGCTGGGCTGACAGTCTAAGTTTCTTAAAATATATATATTTTGTTTAGCCAAATTAGTTAACAAACATGGATGTTTGTTTAAGCAAACAACATATGCTGTAATGTTATTGTTTCAGTTGAATAAATCTATTTAAATTGTTATTATTAAGGTAATGATTCCTAGGTACAACAGAAAAGTTGTCCAAATATGAATGATTAACTTATTAAACCGGGGATAAAAAAACTAATATGAAAAGTTGTTATTCTAAAAATCTTCATCTACTTGCATATTAAAGTTATACCAGCAAGAATTAGTCTTTATGTAGAAAACTATGATTTAAATCAAGCCTTACTGACTAGTGATTTAAATCGTGATTTAAATCATGATTTAAATAAGTTTGATTTAAATCAAATCCACCCTGCTATACACTAGGACTCCAAGATCCCTCTCACAGTTACGGGAATTAAACCAGGTTTCACCTAGTTTAATTATACCTATGCAATTGGTTTTTCTTGTCTAAGTGTAAAACTTTATTTTTATCTTTGTTGAATATCATTTTGTTAGATAGGGGCCACTATTCAAGTTCACACTTTTTTAGCTGCCAAGATGTAGGTTGTGATCTACTTAATCAAATGCTTTACTGAAAACTAAGTATACCATGTCCTCAGCATTTCTCTGGTCCACTAATTTAGTCACTTTGTCAAATATCACTGTGGGTGAGACGTCGGAGGTGGCTCGGGAGTTCATGGCTTCCATGGCAGCTATGGACCTGACCCAGTTAATTCATGGCCCTACCCACACAGGGGGAAACACGCTGGTCCTGTTTTTTGTCTCTGGACAGTGGTTGAGTGATCTTGAGATAGGGGATATAGTCACCGAGCCGTTGTCATGGTCGGATCACTCTCTCCATCGCCTTGACCTTCGAACCGCTATACCCCATCGTAGGGAGGCGGAGCCAGTAAGATGGTTCCACCCCAGGCGCCTGATGGAACCTGATAGGTTCCAGATGGAGCTTGGGCCATTTCCTGAGGCTCTGGCACACGCCTCGACTAGGGACCCAGTGGCCGCCTGGGATAGGGTGGCCACTGGAGCTCTGGATCGGGTCGTGCCTTTGCGGCCTCTGACCCGGCGCCGATCTCACCTAGCTCCTTGGTTCACTGAGGAGCTGAGGGAGATGAAGCGCCAGAAAAGACGCCTAGAGAGTAGTTGGAGGGCCAGTCTTTCTGAATCCAACCAGACACTGGTAAGATCTCATATTAAGAATTACCTAGTGGCAATAAAAGCAGCAAAATGTACATATTTTGCTGCTCTTATTGCATCATCAGATAATCGCCCAGCCGCTCTGTTTAGGGTGACCCACTCCCTGCTCCACCAGGAAGCGCGGGAGGACCCCTTAGAGGGTAGAGCCAAGGATTTTGTTCAATATCTGCATGACAAAATCACTCAAATTCGGGAAGATCTGGACTCCGACTGGGTAGTTCCAGGGGGGTTGACTGAGGCAGGTCTTGAGAATGTTATCTGGGATGAGTTTGATCCTGTGACCCCTGACGATGTGGACAGGATTCTGGGTGGACTGAATGCGACCACATGTTTATTGTACCTGTGCCCCTCCTGGTTAGTGCTGGCTTCCCGGGAGGTGACGCGAGGCTGGCTTCAGGGGATTATAAATGCTTTGTTGGGTGAGGGTGACTTCCCCGCCACCTTGAAAGAGGCGGTGGTGAGGCCTCTCCTCAAGAAGCCTTCCCTGGACCCGGCAGTGTTGGCTAACTATCATCCAGTCTCCAACATTCACTTTGTTGCGAAGGTTGTTCCCCAGGTACTGGGGTTGCGCGTCAGCTCCCCCAGTACCTGGATGAAATGACGTATCTGGATCCGTTCCAGTTGGGCTTCAGGCCTGGGTACAGCACGGAAATGGCATTGGTCACGTTGATGATCTCTGGAGGGCCCCGGACAGGGGCTGCTCCTCTGTCCTGATCCTATTAGACCTCTCAGCGGCTTTTGATACCATCGACCATGGTATCATGCTGCACCGGTTGGAAGAGTTAGGGGTGGGGGGTACTGTATTATGGTGGTTCTCCTCCTTTCTCTCTGACCGGTTGCAGTCTGTGTTGGCAGGGCGGCAGAGATCGACCCCAAGGCCCCTCATATGTGGGGTGCCACAAGGGTCGGTCCTCTCGCCCCTTTTGTTCAACATTTATGTAAAGCCGCTGGGCGAGATCATCCATGGTTTCGGGGTGAAGTAGCATCAGTCCACTGATGACACCCAGCTGTACATCTCCACCCTGGACCACCCCAACGATGCCCTTGAAGTGATGTCCCGGTGTCTGGAGGCCGTGCGGATCTGGATGGGGAGGAACAGGCTCAGGCTCAACCCATCCAAGACCGAGTGGCTATGGTTTCTGACGTCCCAATATAGTCAGTTGACGCCATCGCTGACTATTGGGGGTGAATCGCTGGCCCCCACGGAGAGGGCTCACAACTTGGGTGTCCTCCTGGATTCACGGCTGTCTTTAGAAGAGCACTTTACGGCCATGACTGGGAGGATTTTTCATCAGGTTCGCCCAATTCGTCAGTTGCGTCCCTTTCTGGATCAGGATTCCCTACACACAGTCACTCATGCCCTCGTCACTTCCCGCCTGGACTACTGCAATGCTCTCTACATGGGGCTCCCCTTGAGGAGCACCCGGAGGCTCCAACTGGCGCAGAGTGCGGCCGCGCGGGTGGTTATGGGAGCAACATGGCGCTCCTGTTTGACACCTCTCCTGCACAAGCTGCACTGGCTCCCGGTGGTCTCCCAGGTGCGCTTCAAGGTTCTGGTTACCACCTTTAAAGTGCTCCATGGCTTAGGACCTGGTTATTTACGGGACTGCCTACTATCACAAGCAGTCTCCCATTGGCCGGTACGCTCTCATAGAGAGGGGCTCCTCCGGGTGCCATCAGCTAAACAATGTCGACTGGCGGCCCCCAGGGGGAGGGTCTTCTCTGTGGGGGCACCCACTATCTGGAATGAGCTCCTCCCAGAGATACGGAAGATCCCGGATCTACGCACTTTCCGCCGTGCTCTTAAGATTCTCCTATTCCAAAAAGCCGGCCTGGCCTAATTTTCTCCCCTGTTTTAAAATTCTTTTACCGCAAAATTTTAATTTGTTTTAAATTTTGGGATTTTTAATTGTCTTGGGCTAAATTATTTAATCTGGTTTTAATTATATCTTTTAACTTTTGTATTTATGTATTTTACTTTGTGCCTGTTCACCGCCCTGAGTCCTTCGGGAGTAGGGCGGTATCTAATAATAATAATAATAAAAAAATGGCATGATCTCTTTTTGATCAACCCGGGGTGAAATGCTATCAGTTCACACCAGTTTGGGCAAACCGGTAGTGATAAAAACTACTGGTTCAGGTTCCTCTGGTATTTTCCTCTGGAAACTGGTATTTCCAATGATCAGCTGTGCCGCACGGCGAATCTAAATCATGTGGCACAGCTGTTTCCCCCCCTCACTGTTCTACTTACCTTGTGAAGTTTTCTTTTTCCGTGCGAAGTGTGCGTGTGGTGCGCAATGCGCATGCACGGGCAGTGAACCGGTGGCAATCCACGGAGGATTTCACCACTGGATCAACCCATGTTGGCTAATGGTTATAACTTGTTTGCTTCTAGGTGTTCGCAGATTTGTTGCTTGGATATGTTTTCCAAGATATTACCAGATATTAATGTCAGGCTGATTTGTCTGTAAATTCCTGCATGTTTTTTACCTTTTTAAAGGTAAAAATCAGCTCTTTTCCAGTCCTCAGTTACAGGTAGTCCTGAACTTACAACCACAATTGAGTCCAAAATTTATGTTGTTAAGCGAAAAACTTGTTAAGTGAATTTTGCCCCATTTTATGACTTTTCTTGCCACATTTGTTAATGAATCATTGCCATTGTTAAATGAGTTACACTGTTGTTAAGTGAATCTGGTTTCCCCATTGAGTTTGGTTGATAGCATGTCACAAAAGGGGATCACATGACTCCGGGACACTACAACTGTCATAAATGTCAGTTGTCAAACATCTGAATGTAAATCACATGACCAGGGGGATGCTACAATGGTCATAAGTGTGATAAATGATCATAAATAACTTTTTTCAGTGTCATTGTAACTACAGTCACCAAATTAACTATTGTAAGTTGAGGACTACCTCTAGTTCCCCCGTGCTCCAAGGACTTTGAAACATACAGTATGTTACAATGGTTCTGAAATCACATTTATTAGTTCCAGTAAAATTCTGGCTGCAGTCCGTCCCGACCCAGTGATTTGCATTTGTCTAGAGCCAGCAGGGGTTCTCTTACCTTATTTTTCCATATTTTAATTTGCATTCCTAATCTGGCACTTATGATTCTGTTTTTGATAAGTTGTGTCATGTTTCCTTTTTGGGTGAAAACACATGTAAAGTATCTTCTTTGTACCTTCTCCCCCCTTCTTATACTCCTGTGAATTAGGGAGGAGTCTGTCTGAGTCTCTTCTAAATAGGATCCATGTGCTGCGGACTTGGGAGATGTTTCCCCTTCACCTCTTTAGTAATGGAGTTTGCATATTTCCCAAGGAGGGGTGGGTTCTAGTTACCTTTACTACCGGTTTGCAATGGGAGCATGCACGTGCTTCTGTGCAGCAAAAGCTTCTGTGCAGACACAGATTGTCCATCATGACAATGGGCGGAGCCTCCCGCCGCTTTTACTACCGGTTCGCAGGAACCGGACCAAACCGGGAGCAACCCACCACTGCTCCCAAGGCCATTTACTTCAGTCTGAGCAAAGGGAGGGCATTGGATAGGGTGGATATTGTGCTGGGTTAAGAGCAGGGAGGTAGAGTTTGTGTTCTCCACTCAGTCATGGAAAGTCCCCAGTGATTATCCATACAGACCACTGAGTTACATTCACTAGGAAACCTCTAGAGATGCTCCTGCACCCCAATAGTTGTAGAGAGCTTAAAGTCTTGTTGTAAGTAAACATTGACAACAAGCTGAACTGGGCCTGCATGGGCACAGGGGGAAGAATCAGACTGGAATTTCTGGACCAGTGGGTCAAAATCAGTAGTGGGTTTCAATTCTGTTCACTAACGGTTCGCTTGTGCGCACGCAGGCTGCTTCTATGCATGCGCAGAGACGTCCGGGTGAGTGGAGCCTCTCGCTCTACCACCTTGCCTGATCTGGGGCAAACCGGTAGCAACCCACCACTGGTCGAAATGTTTATATTCCCTGACCGTATCTCACAGAGCGCATAGTTGCCCTGCTGACCTTGTAGGCAGGGAGAAATAATGAGATTATCAAAAATATTCCAACGTCATGCTGTACTCTATAGGGTGCTTGCCTGTTTCTACATCTTTCTAATGTAGTGGGCCAACGGTATATATAACCTGCGGTTCTGCTTTAGGTCGGGGCTGCTCAGAAAGCTGCCAATGCTTTGCTGGAATCCATTGTGCACAGTGATTGTTTGAATGCTTAATATATGTTGAATCTTCAAAGTGATTGGTTGCTTTAGATGAGGCATGTTTTGGCCACAATATTCCCTTACTTTATGCTCTTTTTTTTTTTACCTCTCTTCTTCCCCATTGACTGCCAGGAAGTAATCAGGTTGCTCTCAGTGAGGTGTGTGTGTGTGTGTGAGAGAGAGAGAGGGGGGGAGAGGAACACTAAAACGGTTTCTCCCCTTTGTGTATAAGAATGTGATTCATAATATTAACCCTAGTACTGAGATCTTTCCTACAGTCTGGAAAGTTTCCCTCCTGTGTGAGTCCTCTGGTGTTTACCCAGGCTGGAATGATGACTGAAACTTTTCCCACAGTCAGGACATTGAAAGGGTTTCTCTCCTGTATGAGTCCTCTGGTGTTGAACCAGGCTGGAATTCTGACTGAAACTTTTCCCACAGTCTGGACACTCATATGGTTTCTCTCCTGTGTGAGTTCTCTGGTGTCTAACCAAGTTAGAATATTCACTGAAACATTTCCCACAATCAGGACATTCAAATGGTTTCTCTCCTGTATGAGTCCTCTGGTGTTTAACCAGGCTGGAATTATCACTGAAACATTTCCTACAATCAGGACATTCAAATGGTTTCTCTCCTGTATGAGTCCTCTGGTGTCTAACCCAGCTGGAATTATCACTGAAACATTTCCCACAATCAGGACATTCAAAGGGTTTCTCTCCTGTATGAGTCCTCTGGTGTTTAACCAGGCTGGAAATCTGACGGAAACTTTTCCCACAATCAGGACATTCAAAGGGTTTCACTCCTGTGTGAATCCTCTGGTGTTTAACCAGGCTGAAATTATGACTGAAACATTTCCCACAGTCAGGACATTCAAAGGGTTTCTCTCCTGTGTGAATCCTCTGGTGGCCAATGAGGTGGGAATTCTGACTGAAACTTTTCCCACAGTCAGGACATTCAAAGGGTTTCTCTCCTGTGTGAGTCCTCTGGTGTTGAACCAAGCTGGAATTATCACTGAAACATTTCCCACAATCAGGACATTCAAATGGTTTCTCTCCTGTGTGAATCCTCTGGTGGCCAATGAGGGTGGAATTCTGACTGAAACTTTTCCCACAGTCAGGACATTCAAAGGGTTTCTCTCCTGTGTGAGTCCTCTGGTGTTGAACCAAGCTGGAATTATCACTGAAACATTTCCCACAATCAGGACATTCAAAGGGTTTCACTCCTGTGTGAATCCTCTGGTGTTTAACCAGGCTGGAATTCCGACTGAAACATTTCCCACAATCAGGACATTCAAAGGGTTTCACTCCTGTGTGAATCCTCTGGTGTTTAACCAGGCTGGAATTCTGACTGAAACTTTTCCCACAATCAGGACATTCAAAGGGTTTCACTCCTGTGTGAGTCCTCTGGTGGCCAATGAGTTTGGAATTCCGACTGAAACGTTTCCCACAATCAGGACATTCAAAGGGTTTCTCTCCTGGGTGAGTCTTCTGGTGGCCAATGAGTTTGGAATTCTGACTGAAACTTTTCCCACAGTCAGGACATTCAAAGGGTTTCCCTCCTGTGTGAATCCTCTGGTGTTTAACCAGGCTGGAATTCTGACTGAAACTTTTCACACAGTCAGGACATTCAAAGGGTTTCTCTCCTGTGTGAATCCTCTGGTGTCTAACCCAGCTGGAATTCTGACTGAAACTTTTCCCACAGTCAGGACATTCAAAGGGTTTCTCTCCTGTGTGAGTCCTCTGGTGTTTAACCAGGCTGGAATTCTGACTGAAACTTTTCCCACAGTCAGGACATTCAAAGGGTTTCTCTCCTGTGTGAGTCCTCTGGTGGTCAAGGAGGTTGGAATTCCAACTGAAACTTTTCCCACAGTCAGGACATTCAAAGGGTTTGTCTCCTGTGTGACTCCTCTGGTGGCCAATGAGGTTGGAATTCTTACTGAAACTTTTCCCACAATCAGGACATTCAAAGGGTTTCACTCCTGTGTGAATCCTCTGGTGCTGAACCAGGCTGGAATTCTGACTGAAACATTTCCCACAATCAGGACATTCAAAGGGTTTCTCTCCTGTGTGAATCCTCTGGTGTTTAACCAGGCTGGAATTCTGACTGAAACATTTCCCACAATTAGGACATTGAAACATATTCTCCCTGGTGTGAGTCCACGTTGCCATGCTTGCTAAAGCATTTACCACATTGGGAACATTTGTAGGGCTTCTCTCTTGTGTGGGTCCTTCCATGAAAGTAAATGAAGTTGTTCTGACCAAAGCTTTTGCCACATTCAGAGTATTTCTCCAGTCTGGATCCCCTCTGGCATAATCAGCTGTGATTTGCAAGTTGTATCTTTCCCAGAACAGAAACGTCTATGGAGCTTTTCCACAACTAATATTCTTGAGGTGGTCAAAAATATGGATAATCCCTTTAGTGCTGCTTTGATTTACTGGTGATTTTCTTCCTCCCAGAGCGAGGCCTGCAACACTGTCTGCTCTACGTGGCTTCCTCCCCAGTAACTTCCAGATATTTCCCTCTTTTCCTGCATGGAAAAATTATCTCCCTTGACTTTTCATGTAACGTATGCTTTAATTTCACACTCTATTTTTCCAGTTAGAAATCTCTTCTTGATTTTCTCTCATTTCTCTCTCACCTGCTGGGGGACTCTCTGAAGGAAATGGAAAATATTTTGATTTCTGGACTGACTGGTTTTGCTATTCAAAGTTGTTTGTTATCCTCAGTTGTCCAGAGTGCTCATTGCCATCTTCTTTGTCTATAAAATTCAAATAAAAGTGTATCTTTAATTGTGCATAAAATGGTTGCAGAAGATGAGAAAAGAAGAAAAAAGTTTACATTATAATGAAAAAGCAAACATGCCACAATGCTCCAATAACCTCTTACATTGATCATGATTCAATTGACACATGGAAGACCACCCAGATCCAAGTTCAAATATCCATTCAATGATTCTAATTCGATTGTTGACTTCAGTCAATCACAAATTCTTAGCAATGCAAAGGGTTGTTTTCAAATACAATCAATTGAAAAAGAAACTACACCTGCTTTGATTTCTTGTGGTTTTACTTATCAGGGTATCATAAATATCATCGCAACAGAACAGAACAGAATAACAGAATTGGAAGGGACTTTGGAGGTCACCCTATATCCTTTCAGACAAATGGCTGTCTCATCTCTTCTGAAAAGCCTCCAGTGATGGAGCACCACAACTTCTGAAGGCAAGCTGTTCTCCTGGTTAATTGTTCTCACCATTAGGAAATTTCTCACTGCTTCCATAGTATAAAGAGGGGAAGTAGCAGCCACGTACTGCTAATAAAATGCCCTTGATCAATTGATCATCAGCAAGTATGATTACATCTATCTCTGACACTGAGTTGTGTGTTAACACAATGCCAAAGAATAAAGAATCAGCAATGATCTTAGAGAAGAAATTGTTGCTGCCCATCAATTTGGGAAGGTTTAAAAGGTCATTTCCAAACAATTAAAAACCCATCATTCTACAGTGCAGAAGATTATTCACAAGTGTAAAGCATTCAAGAGAGTTGCTAATCTTCCCAGGAGTGGACGTTCAAGGAAATTCAGCCCAAAGTCAGAAGGTGCAATGACCAAAACCACAGAAGGCAAATTTGACTATTTTTATAATTTCTATATCTTATCTGTCATGTGCCAACTGCCTCTTATGTAATGAAGCGAAAGCAAAGAAATGTATAAATATCTGCCTTTCACTACACTCAGGGTTCCTTCCTTCTTAGGAGGATGAAGAAATGCATTGGCTTATCAACACACACACACACACACACACACACTTGGACTCTGTCTCTTATTTCACTGAGCCATATCTGTCAATCGCAGTTATGTCACGGTAAGGTTGGTGGCCAATACATTTTATAAATAAATACACCTGAACAGTTCAAACATTCAATAGCTATTTTTTAAAAAGTGCTGGGTTAAGCACAGTGGAGCCTGGGGGGGCACCAATAGGAAACACATACTTGTTAGCTAGAAATGGAAGTAGAACAAAAGAAGAACAACCCAAAAAAGACCAGAGGCAAATAAATCCGATCTTGTTGCCCAGAAAACATCAGGTCCATAAGAGAAGAATTGAGTTGGGGGGACCTTGGAGGTCTTCTAGTCCATCCCCTGTTCAGGCAGGAGACCCTATTCCATCCAGAACAAATGGCTGCCCAATCTCCCCTCAAAACCCTCCAGGGACGGAGCAGCCACAACCTCTGGAGGGAAGCCATTCCCAAAGAACCAACCTCCACTTGAAAGAGGCTTTTTCAATCTTCCCACCAGCAGAAATTGCAGCCACCAGTTTCCCAGCCTGCAGCACCAGTGGGCTTCCATTTGGGGAGGGAAGGAACCTGCAGCAGCCGCAGCTGAGAGGCTTCAGCCCAGTTGCTTCTCCGCTTCCAGGCCGTGGAGGGAACCGAACAGCCCGACCTGCTCCCGGACTCTCCTCCCACCTGCAGCCCTCAACTCACCTGCCAGCTGCTGCTTCGATCCTGGGAAGAGCAGAAAAGCCGCTCTGCACACCAACTTCCTCCCATCAGTCATCCGGAAGAGGAAGTTCCTCTGCGCCTCTCCTCTCCTCTCCTCTCCTCCTTTCTAGCAATGCAGTGTTGATGGCTTTCTAGGCACAGATGTTGCCTGACCGCCATCTAGCGACAGCAGGTGGAAAAACACGCTTTTCCAATCTCCACCAAGGCGTTGGGAAGAGGTTTCCTGTGATTACATTGCAGCAGGTCGTTTTCGATTCCCAGCAACCGACCTTTGCAACTGAGCCAAGTGAAAAAGTGAAACGTGATGCTACTTCGTTTTTGGTGCCTTTGGGTCAGTCTTGATGCCTGCCCTTGCAGTTTCCTTGGCAAGGGTTTTTGGGAGGGATTCCCCCCCCCTTTCCTGCTTCCAAGGGCTGAGAGGACTGGCCAAAGTTCAACAGATGGTTTTGCCCTTCAGGTGGGACTGGAACTGAGCATTTCTCTGACTCTAACCTGGTGCCTTCACCACTACACTGAAGGGAAACAATAATAAGGATATAATAAATAATACTAGGATATGATATACTGGTATACTAGATTCTGTAACCATTAGGTTCCTGTAATACATATTATGCCTTTATATTTGTATCTCCTGTAACAAACATTCTGTTATTAGGAGATCCAATCTGCATTTCTGATTATCCGAGAGGAGATCAGCCAGAGACGATCACTTTGAAAGGAGTGTGATTATTGGAATAAGAATCTGTAGTGCAGGAGAGGGCTCTGACCAAACTTCGGACCCACAGGGGAGGTCTGGGAAATCTCTTAGGGAAAAGGAGAGGGTTTGGTTAGGCTTCGCACCGACGGAAAGGTGTGGGAAATCTCCTCAGGAAGAAAGAGAGTCTAGTCAGGCTTCGAGCTGACAGAAAGGAATCCCCTGGAAAAATGGGCAATCATGCTGGTAGCCTGTTTGGAACAAATAACCTAGTAACAAGAATTGGGCCATGTTCTCCATTTGGCTATGTTAGCCCACTGGAACACGTTACAAACAAGTTGTGAAAAAACAAAACAAGAGTATAAAAAAAATGAATGAAAAAATGTTGTGGCAGTAAAAGTTGTCTGTAAAAAGAAAAGTGGAGTTCAAACTTGCTCATGAGAACCCTGGCTAAAAGCAAACAATGTGTATACCCCTTATACATCTTGATCTTTAAAATGGGCCAGCGATTGCTGAGAGCTCCAAGTTAGAATGAGAACACACAGAACACCCCCAGGGCAGAGGCATGTAGTAACAATCTAGTGTCTAAAGAGAGATCTATGGGTGGCAAAGAAATATTGCAGTGTTATAAAGATCTTGATAATTTACCATTCTCAAAAGAGCCAGAGAAGTCTGAAAGAACTAAGAATAAAGAAGAAATTGTTTATTGTTCTTCCCACGTGGGTTTTAGCAGGTAATAAAAATGTAAAACCTGCCTAAATGGGGAAATTCATATAATTTGACTTGATCAATTTGGTGTGATTTCTGTTACAAAATTCCTGGATATGCATCTATAATAATAGTATGTAGAATTGATTGTGATATGTCTGGCCAGCCTGCAAATTAAGTAAACATCTCGGCTTGGAGCTGTGGGAAATGGAAAGTAGTTAGGGCCCACAATCATATTTATGATTTAAACTGCTCTCTGAGTTTTCCCACTGCTTTAAGAATAAGCTATAGGTTGCCCAAGGAAATAAAATTAAAATAAAAAACAACCTCCACAGGTCTGGAAATGTTTGATGGTATGTGTATGTATGTGTATGCATGTAATCATTTCCAAACCTGCAGGAAGGATGAGACCTTCTAACAACAGTACACAAAAAGTTATTTAGAAAATGGAGCGCATTGGCTTGTGAAAAGTTCCCTGAAATAATTTGGTTTGCATGGAGGAAACATTAAATGAAATTTTTGTATGTGAAATTGGTGTATACAAAAAGTCTGATTGCAGTACAAATGTGAATGTGTGTGTGTGAGATGTTCCGAGCTCATAAGGAGTGATAAAGTGAAGTGATCTTGAGACCTGTGAATGCCTGTGTATTGATGTGGGAGATAAAATTGTGGAAAATGTCTGTTAGTTATTCAGGCTAGAGAGAAATGCAGAGGGTTGTTTTGTTGAAAGGATGCTGAGAGGTGAAAGGAGGTGAGAATTCTAAGTAGTTTAAACATTTTTTCTCCCTGTATTTCCTTTCCCCCCTCCCTTGGAGGAGAGAAGCAGGAAAAAGAGGGGCTGCGGGCTGGTTCTCTGCTGAACCAGCCTGAGAAAGGCGGGGTAAAGGGTGATATCTGATACCTGCCTTTGCAGTTTCACTGTTTTTGGCTCGGAATGCAGTTTATTTATTTGTTTGTTTGTTTGCTTGTTTGTTTCTTAGCAGCACAAGTTGCTGCCCTTTTAGGAATTGTTACAGAGATGAGTTAGAAATTACAATATTGTAGTAAGACAGAGTCAGTGGCATTTTTGTCTAAAATGTTAGATCCTGCCTGTTAAGGATTTCCAGTTTGTGTTCAAACAGTGGCAGCTATGGCAGTGTTAGTGAAGGAAAGCAGAAAGTTGACTTTTGGAGGAGCCCTAGTGCCCCTCCTC